GAGCCCATGTGACAAGTGACCCCAAAATTCATATAAAAATGTCAGAAAAACCAAAATTAAACAGTCTTGAAGCAGCGACGGAGCAGTAACAATTCTGGTGGAAATAGTTCATTTAATCGGTCCGGTTTTTCAATCCTTCCTTCGATTACACGGGATAGTACTGAATTAATAGTAAGTTACGAACAATTGAAATTATCCGGGAATAAAATTTCTCTAACCGAGAGAGGTGACTTTTCTTGCAAATAAGGAATTCGTTTATTGTGACGCGTTGTGGACAGTCTCAACCAAACTCTTAAAATCTTCAACATCAACTGCCAAACATTCCTTAAAATATCAACGAGTACAAGAAAGTGTTTCCGTAAAAGTATCCATAATAGCCTTTAGCGCGACTAATTGCTGGTGAGGAAATTACGGATTTACCCAGGGATCTACAAGTACATCGAATAATTTATAAATAACAGACCGAATTGTGAGTAACAAAAATTTGTAAACCCAAATTTGAATCCTTCAGATAATTCCAGGGATAGGAATTTTAGCTACCTAGATTTCTGTAAAATCACGCTCAGGTTTTTGTAAACCGAGTAGTTATACAAAATATATTTAAATTCAAATTTGATTCTTATTGCAACTCCAAATGTCTTGATTAGAAATTTGTCTCAACTCAAGCCCTATCCCTAAATCAAGCCCTTTTTCCCTTATATTTTAAAAAAAGGTAAGAGTATAAAATTTTGCGTCGTCCAATAATTATAAAATTCAATAATTTTAGCTTTGATTTTAATATGACAATTAAAACATATCCATTCGACGCTAAAATCCTTCTCTGGACATAACATACGTGTGATTTTTCTTCATTCCGTCCACTTGATCCATTGTTATAGGTAATTATGTTTCGAATTTGGCATGTTACAAATTGACAATTTGACATTTTCTCATTGTTTTGTCCTGAATTATTATTTTCTGACTTGATTATCAGTAGAAATCGTATATCAGTTGTGAAGCTCATTTTTTGCAGACTCATGAGATTTTTTGGCCAACATTTATTCTTTCATGAGTTATTCGGAAATTCAAATTGCGATGGATTTTTCTAGCGCTTTGAGTCGAATCAGCGGGGAAAACAATAGGTCATCCTAGGAGGGCATTTTCCGTTCTTCCAATTGTAACGATGCGGGTTGTATGCTATATGGTGTATGTGTCGGATTTTGTAAGTCACAAATTGAAAAGTTGTTATGTCAGTCTGTAGTATTATGGAGTAATTTCAGTTTTAATACAGAGGAAATAAATCAAGCAGGTGTAACGTCATATTAAATTAGCTGCTGAGGAGTAGACGCGTGGTTAGACAGTAGCAGGGAAAATAACGAAAAAGTCGAAAAAAACAGTAGTAAAAATAGTGTAAGAAAGTCCTGGAGGTGGAAAAAGAGGAAAGGCAAGTGGGGAGTAAATAAACTCAGAGTGAAAACGCAGGTGAGAAGGTAGGTGAACTGGATAAAGTGTAGTGGCGATTTGGCGGTTAGGAAAAAATGGGTGATGAAGGAGGGGAAAGAGGGGAGGGACGGCGTTGGATATAACCTAAAGAAAGAAGGGGAGCAGAAAGAAAAGGAGAACGGAGACATGGAAGAAAATAATGAGAGGTTATTAGTAGAGACACCTAGGATAGGACAGGGAAGAAGAGGCAGGAAACCGAAGGCTGGTAAGGTAGAGGCAACGAGTACGGCGACGGAGAAGACAACAAGACGACTGGATGACTACTGGGGGAACGGAGAAGGGAAGGCGGTCGAAGGAGAGAACGCGACTGAAGCAGAGAATAGAACGGAAACAGTAGAGAGGAGAGACTCAGATGGCAAAGCAGAAGAGGAAAATGACGAGATAACGTCCAACATGGAAAGAATAGAGGAGAAAGAGACGCTCGGGACTAAAAGTCACCTGAAGAGAACCCCAGTAACAAGGAAAGAGAGAGAGAATGAGAATTTGGTGTCAGAGGAACAGGAAAAGGGAGCCTTGGAAGAAACAGCGCAGGAACCAGGTGGAGGTAAAATTAGAAAAGGCAGTAAAGGAAGAGAAGCAAGGGCAGGCAGTGGAGAAGCAGGGGAAGGCAGCGGAGAAGCAGGGGAAGGCAGTGAATACGAGAGCACAGAGGAAAGGGTCTCAGAAGCAGATATTAACGAGGAAGTGTGGACTCAGGAAAGCATGAAGAGCTGGCTAAAAAAATGGGAGGAAAAACAGAAGGAGGAATGGGAAGCAAGGATGTCAGATCTGGAAGGGTTAATGAGAACGGAGCTAAAGAGAGTCCTCAGCACGGAGTTGAGGTATGTACTCAGGAAGGAACTAGTGGCAGAAACGGGAACGAGGAACACAGAGGGAAGGGAACCGGGTGGAGAGGGATGGAGATGTGAAGACTGCGAGAGACGGAGGGAGAGGAGAACAGAGGAGTCAGGACCAAGGCAGGGGAATTTCAGGCAAACGTGGTGGAAGGATTGGGGAGAAAGTAATTACGAAAGAGTTGAGCAGGTGGGAAAGGAAAAAGACAGGGCTGAGTTTCAGACGAGAAAAAAGGATAATGAGGAGCAAAAAAAGACAAGGAAAAGAAGCAACGAAGAGAGAATTCTAGAAGGCAGACAGGAGACCACACAAAGCCCAGAGATAAACACAAGCGGTAGAAAGTCGACAGATAGCGGAACTGAGGGGTGGGGGGAAGGGGAAGGACCACAAGAGACCCAGGAAAAGATGGAGGAACCCCCTAGATGGAGAGAGAAGACAGGAACAAGAAGGGAAAGCAGTAGTGGCAGCGAGAGTGTAAGTAGTGGAGGAAAAGGAAACAGAAACAGTGAAGGCGGGAAAAGAGAGTAGTATAGTAAGGCCGGTTCTGGTTAAAAACCGTCCAAAACGACCCATCTGAGAATGGTGAACGGGGGGGGGGGGGGGGG